CCGCCAGCCTCCTGGAAGAGCTGCAGGTCCTGGGGGCGGAGCGGTGGGGACAGAGCCCGGTACCCACGATTCCAGCTCTCAGTGGACCTGCATTCCCGCCCAGGCCCACCCTTCCCAGCACCCAGGAGTGAATGCGTGGCCCCCAGGTGCCCGGTCTGGCTCGAGGCAGGAAGTCCCAGCTGGGGCGGGGCCACAGGAGGGGCGGCCCGGCCTGTGGGCAGCGGCCTCACCTGGGTGCTGTGGTAGCACAGCTGGAAGGCCAGCGCCACGGCCTGTGGGCGGCCGCCTCACCTGGGTGCTGTGGTAGTACAGCTGGAAGGCCAGCGCCACGGCCCCGTTGACGTGGACCTCCTGGGTCCCGTAGATGTCCTCAGGGCAGACCTCCAGGCCGGAAGCCGCGCTCTCCCAGGCAAACTTGGCTCCCTGGGGGTTGGGGGAGGTGCAGACCGATTCTTTATGGGCGGGGGAGGGGGCTTGGGAGCAGCTCACATATTTCCCAATACACTCAGCCTACAGCCAGAGGGCAGAGGTGGGGCACCAACTTCCAGGGTGCCACTGGATTGCTCCCCCCTCCCCCGGGGGCCAGGTGGCCTCTGCCCAGTTTCCACTGTGGCTGCCCCGGGCATCGGGCAGTGAGGGGACCCGCTCGGTATCAGCCAGGCTGTTCCCATCTGGGCAATGCAGGCCGGCAACGCTGCTGAGCCCCTGTCAGAGCCCCAGATGCCTTTCCCCCGACCCCCAGAGGGCTCTGGCGACATCAGCCCTCGAGGGACCCTGCCGGGTGGGCACCGGCCTCGCTCACCTGGTAGCCCAGGCTCCGGGCGTTGTCCAGGGCCCCACCCAGCGTCTGGACGCGGTACTGCAGGAGGGCCCTGGCGGCCTGGGGCTGGAGCAGGAGGACATTGGGGAACATCCAGAGGTCCTGGGAGCACAGCCAGAGGGCGGCTTCGAGCTCTCGCACCCTCCCCTGCCCCCCGCCCCCTTTCTGCCCTGGGGGGCCTCAGGGGCAGCACGGCTCCTTGCTGCCCACCCAGTCTGACCCGGGCCCTTCTCGCCTGCCCGCCACACGTCCCCATCTCCAGCGGACACCCTCAGGTCCCTGGCCCGGCGCTTCCCCTCCCCAGGGGCACCTGGGTCTGGCCCGGGGCTCAGGCCAGGGTCCGGGTGTGGGGAGCCGGCTTTGTGGCTCCCTGGCTGCCTGGCCCGGAGGGTCAAGTGGGCCACAACCTGCTCCTCGAGCTCCGTGCTCGCTGGTCTCCAAGTCCCAGCTCTCCTGGCCCCGCTCCTGCCGGCCTCACCGTCCCCCACATTTCCTTATCAGCTACACGGGTCTTTCCAGAGCCCACACCTGTCTGTGTCACACCCCAATTAACGGGCCTTCACAGCGACTGCAGCCCCCCTACAACTGCCCTTCCAGCCTCGTGAGCCCCGCCCCCCGCCCTGGCCAGATGCCAGGCCCTCTCCAGCTCTGGGGCTTTGTGCCTTCCGGTGCCCTCGCCTGAACTGCTTTCCCGGCAGACTCCCACACATCCTCCCGCTGAGCTGCCACCGCCTCCAGGAAGCCTTCCCGGTTGCCATGGTCCCTGTGCTTCTCCAGCCACAGCCCCCATCCCCGGCCAGGCCGTGCCCTGGGCCCAGGGACCCTCTGCCTGTGTGCCACCCACACCCCCGCCGTGCAGGTGCGTGCCGGGGCGGCGGGTGCACACCTGGTCCCAGAACACGTGGCCCCAGTAGCATTCCTCGCGGCTCCCGTTGGAGAGGCCCCCGGGGCTGAGTCCGTGGCAGACATATCCTGGGACCCCGGGCTCGGGCAGGGC